TTTGTTGTTTTAGTACATCAAGTTCAAATAAATTAAAATGAGAACTGTTGCCTTGGCAACAAGCTGTAATAAAACCTTTTTTTATTTCTTTTGTTTTTTTTTTTAATTTCAGTTATTTTTTATTTCAGCCAAGTTTATTTTATTTCAAGTACTGAAAATGCTTTTTTTATGGTTTTAATTTTAGTTTCAATTTTAATGAACTATAATAATTCTGGTAATATGTACTCTTAAGGTCTCAAAAGGCATGTACCTTACATCATTTTAATCAATTATACATATATGTCTTCTATTATACATGTGCAGATCACCAATTCAGCCAATTTACAGGCATAAAGCTGATCCTTAAGCCATGAAGACTTCATCATGAACTAAGGATGCAGAGATCACCACATATAGTTAAATAGTTGTCATTTGCAAAAATAATAGATGATCATTTAATCAGGATCTGATTGAAAATTGTGTGGTTTTATGCGAAATAATGTAACTAGAATGATTTACACTGAAGAGACCATTCCTGACCAATATTCATTTTAGACAATGATTTTCCTTAAATGTCTTTTGTTTGCACCTCAGCTTATCTTATTAACAGTATCTGCTCATGAATCAAAGATGACACAGAAATAAGTCTGCCCTCTGTCCTCTGCACAGCTACCCCATTTAATTATTGATTTTTTTTCCATAGCCTTAGGAAGTAGAAGCTATAAGCCACATTTACCACATGCGGCAAAGTCTGCATTTATAATGCCACTGAGAACACCACAAGAACACTGTTTTAGAAAACTGTTTCTTGCCAGCTGGCAATTACCTGAAACATACTCAATCATGTTGCTTGTTAAGTAATCTGAATATGCCCATGTTATGCAGTCTCTCAAAAACAGATAAGATTTCATGAGTGGAAGTTGTCTGATCTAGAATCAGATTTATGAATGGTCTTCTCCTATTCGTTGTGAAACTCCCTTTCTCAGACAATAATCCCAGGCAGAATTTTGGTGAATTTTATATCTCTATATGAATAGATGTTTATTTGCTGTTTACACCTCAACGGCACACTCATGGGAGTGTGAGTCAAAGCATGTTATCGGAATAACACTTTCTTTATCATGAAAAAGAGAAAATAAATAACACCAAATGTGAAACTGTCCAAATTCATCTGAGGTCATTGTACAGCTGAAACCCCGGGGTCGGTCTTCTGGGAACAGTTAAGCAATTGAGAGTAAAAGAAAGCAAAATAGCTTCATTACGGTGATGAATCACAGACTGGTCTGTCTGGCCACAGTTACACAGCGGTGGACTGAATACAGCTATTTCAGCTGAGTCAAGGGAGCTGTGAAAATAGGCAGGAAGTGACCCTGTTGTTCTCATCCCATGAAAACTTCATTGCACCTTTCCTATTGGACCGGGACCATTTATCTTTATTAAATGCAAGTTAAGTAACAAAAGAGTCCAATAATGTTACTGTCAAAAGAGGAAGATTTGTCACAGTTTAAGTGAAAGACCTCATTTAGCTATCACTATAAATCAAACAAAGCACAATAAGATGCATGAAAACATTTGCAATGCCATCAAGTGGTTAAGACCTGTAATGACCATCTTTATGTTGCAAGAAAGAGTGTGGAATGATACTTTGCTGAAGTGAAATCAATGACATTGATTGAAGCCACACTAAATCTGCCCTTTGACCCAGTTCCTTTTGGGTAAACATCTTGTCAGTCTATTCCGGTGGGAATAGGTCTGAGCTCTTTGCAGACATTATATTAGGGCACTTTTAATATGATCATAATTGCAGTGAGTTCTTATTTTCATTATTTCACACCTTAATTAGCTATGTAATGAAAGCTTACTTTTTGCCAAACTGTTTAAAATCAAACTGATTTATTAATATTTGTTATTTTAATCTCTGTAAATAATATGAGCAATATGTCAGTACATAAATAAAGAACATAAATGATAGTATTCTAATAGGTATGTGATACCAATTTAAATGGGTAAACAAGTTGATTAGGAGACAGTGAATCAATACTGATAGTTTTTCTCAGGTCAGCAAAACTACATTAAGTGTGGATGTCATTTATCTTGGATGCTCCGCTAGTCGCCGTACTACTGCTGCTGCAACTCTTCTGTAAGCCTCGGCCTGCAAAACAGATAAATATGCATAAGCATATTAGAAAATTATTTCAGATCAGTTCTATAAACTTTCGTTACTTGTATACATCAACAAACTCTGTCTGATTGAAGTCTGCCAGTTGATTAGTTTAACATTTTATTACTACAGTACATTCAAAGTGATTCATATTTGCGTGACTGTTTAGAAATAACCACATTTCAACATAAAATATAAAGTCTCAAGGAGCATTTAAAATAGAATTAGTACTTAGTACTAATTAGTACAAAGTGTATTATGTACAATAAATAAACAATATTTACTTTACCATTGCTGTAGTTTATCTTAACTCTTGCTTTTAGAAAAATAATATAATAATAATAATAATTTAAAAATTATAACATAATATATAAGTGTATTATATACAATATTTACCTTGCCATTTTTATCAACACATGCTACAAAGTGGTTTAAGAAATATAATAAAAATAGTATATTTTACAAACATAACATGATTTATCAATAAAAGTATATTATATACAATAAATATACAATATTTGCATTACAATTTTGTAATTTATCAATACATGTTACCACAGTAGTTTGCACCCAAAGATCCTGAAAGGCTTATGGTAACAAACTGCCATAATGGAAAACAATGAAAAGCAAGACAGGAAAATCCAACATGATTCACTTACTTCTGGACTATCTGGAGATGACACAACCACGGGCTGTCCCTTGTCTGACGTCTCTCTAATGTTGAGATGAAGAGGAATGTCCCCTGGAGTGAGAAAAGAGAAACCCTGTGTCCTCACAAATAGGCCGATCCACTTGAATCAAATCTAGTTACATACAATTTGACGTTATTATATGCATTAAAAATGTCAGTTTTTTTTTAAATGTGCTTAAATGCTAAAACAGTCAGTCATAATGTAATACTTTATAGAGAATGGCCTTACCAAGCATCTCAACACCAAGGGTCTGAGCCAGCTCTTTAGCCCCATCTGAGCCGAAAATGTGTGTTTGATGACTGCATTTGGGACACTGGAAAACACTCATGTTTTGAACCAGACCCAGCACCTGAAAGAGCAAAGCATATCCTTAAACGTATATTTATAAAACAAAATAAATACTGATACCAATCAAGTAATTTCTGTCGGAAACGACTGTCACAGAATTAAAGGGGTCATATGATGCTTTTTTAAAGATCATTATTTTGTGTATTTGGTGTAACAGAATATGTTGACATGCTTTAATGTTCAAAAAACACATTATTTTTCAAATACTGTATATTATTGTAGGTCCTCTATGCCCCGCCTCTCTCAAACGCTTCGTTTTCTACAAAGTCCCTCCTTCCGACAAGCGCAGTCTGCTCTGATTGGCCAGCTGACCCAGTGCATTGTGATTGGCTGAACACCACAAGCACTCGTCGGAAATGTAATGCCCCTTACCATAATCGCGAGCTTCATCTTTCAAAATAAATGTTAAGACAGTAAATAATGTCATTAGTTTTACCATCAGTTCAAGCCCGAAAGGGGAACAGACACAGTAATGATGCAGTACTGTGTCTGTCCCCCTTTCGGGCAGACACAGTAATGATGCAGTACACAAGCCGTGGTTAAGACAGCTGACTCTACTGTGATGTTACGCTGTCTCTCTCTCTCTCTCTTTCACACACACACATGCGTGCGCGCACACACACACGGAGTGTGGCAGAGTCTTAACTTTGATAAAGAATATCTCTTTGGTTTTGAGACTTTAGTCTTTGCAACTTCAGGGATCTTATCTATTCACGAACAGCTTGTAACACTCCAAAGAGAAAGGAAAACTTGAAATCGCATCATATGACCCCTTTAACACAAAACAATGATTAAATATATTGATATTAATATTTTGATGCTATTTTTACTGCTTAAATGTTTTATTATTGCTAGGTCTATATCAGCATGAACCCAACCTGCTTAAACTCTATTACTTCCCACTATAAATTAATGACAAGTTGAAGCTGGAGCCTTTAAACACAAAAGCAAATGCTTTACCGGAACGTTAACCTTTCTGAACATCTCGGCACCTCTTCGTGCATCTAGCAAGGCAATGTCTTGAGGTGTGGACACGATTACAGCGCCTGAAAGACAAAATTGACAGCATTTTAGCATAAATTATACAACTAGGCTTGACATTTGGTGTATAAACCTGTCAAAAAGTACTTACATTATGTTTAAGAGCAGTAAAAACTGATTTCATAATGAATGTTGTGAATAATAGAAAACAATGCATCCAATTCTCTTCCACCTGATACAAGAAATTACAATAAAACCTTAAATGACAATCTGAATTGGAAAAATCCATGGCGCTGTGTTGTGACTGACATTAGGTTGAATGCTTCTTTCAGATTGTAATAGATGCCAAAAAGAGGCAGACAGGCCATAAATCAGCTGTAACATTTGTTTATTTACCTGCTACTGGAATATTCTGAGTAATAGACAGTTGGACATCTCCAGTTCCAGGTGGCATATCAATCACAAGGTAATCCAGATTCCCCCAATCTACCTGCATGGAAAAAGTCATTATAGTAATGAAAGGAACAACAGTGGTGAGTAAATTGGATTATTTTCTTAGACTGCAGAAAATGACAATTTTGCATGGAACCAGGGTAGAGAATAATTCATGATGTGCCAATGGACAGAAAAATTGAACTCTATTGAAGAAATCACATCTATTTGTGCTGGACGAGGACAATTGAGAAAAAAATAGATATTCAACAAAATCCTATTATCAACAGCAATTTCCAAATCCAAATTACACACCTGTCTAATGAGTTTCTCAATAGCTGACATCACCATCAGACCCCTCCACACAATAGGTGCGACCTCTTCAACCAGAAAGCCCATTGACATACTATAGAGGACGGGGAAGCAAAAAGTAAGACCTTAAAACATTTGAAAATTAAATTGTATAAAATAAAAAAAAATAAAAAAATTAACATTCTAAAGTTTGGGGTCAGTAAAATAAATACTTCTCTTTAGCAAGAACGCATTGCATTTATCACAGTAAAAACATTCATAATGTTACAAAAAAGTTTCTATTTAAAATAATGCTGTTCTTTTGAACTTTCTAATCATCAAAGAATCCTGAAATAAATGCTGGTTTCAACAAGCAGCACAATTGTTTTCAATATGATAATTATGAGAAACATTTCTTGAGCAGCAAATCAGCATATTAGAATGATTTCTGAAGGATCATGTGACACTGAAGACTGGAGTAATGATGCTGAAAATGCAGTTTTGACATCTCTGGAATTAATGACATTATAAATGACTTTTTATTTTTTTGATCAAATAAATGCAGCTTTGGTGAGCAGAAAAGACTTATTTTAAACACAAATTTAAAATCTTACCAACCCCAAACTTTTGATCACTTTTGAACAGTAGTCTACATAAAATAACACTCTTGCACTATAACTATTTTTCAGTTATGCACTTACCAAGGAATTCCAAAATTCACAAGTGGTCTCATTAAGTTCTCTGAAAAAGAAGAAAAGAGAAAAAAAAAGTATCATATATGAATGGCAAACAAGTTTTCTTATTAAACATGATATATTTTGTTTACAAAGCAAATGTGGCCACAAAACTCACTGTCTGTTAATTCAGGGTTTCCTTTTAGGTTCATTAACTTTGGAATGGAGGGGCCATAGACATCAGCATCTAGAAGACCCACCGATTTACTCTACATTCAACAGTGGTACGAAAAAAGATATTACTAAAGGCAAATCATCTAATAAAAAGTGCAATAATTTTTTGCTTTCAATACAATGGCTAAGACAGGGGTTATCTGAATGTTACCTGATCATTAGCCATAAGTCCAAGAGCAAGATTCACTGTGAAGACATTAAACTAATTAAGGGTTTCAGAGAAATACTGGCAGTTGATTAAAGAGTAAAACAAACAGATTGGAGATGATTGTGGCATGAAACAAACAAAGGTCAATGAATGCAAAAGACAACAGACCTGCTGTTGTGGACTTTCCCACCCCTCCTTTCCCTGATGCAACAACAATGACCTCTTTGACTCCAGCTATGGGCTTCTGTTTTGGCAAACCTCGTGCCATGTGCTGCCTCTGTCTCTCCTGCAGAGCTCGTTCACCAGCACCTGAAGTCTAAACAGAAAAGAGTGGGAGAATATGTGTCAGTAACACAGTCTAGACTGTAGTGTAGTTAGGTTTATGCATCTATACAGAATTAATAATTAGGGAACCTGTAATCACTAACGTACATTTAATTCATTAATTAGGTTTACTTACCTTGAAGCGGATTTCATGTCGATTTTGATGTGAAGGAACAAATCTGCCAGGCAAACGTGGTGTGCCTATAATATTTGAGGACAATGTATATATTTGCAAAAGCCGTTTGTAGCTGTCGAGTAATTTAATCATCTTATAAAGCTTCCAGAGACGAGATCTCAGACTACGTCACGAGCAAAACAAAGACATGAGACACCACTGTGACACTCGTTTCTATCGGTTTAGTATTTGTTTACGTTTTTTAATAAATCATTTAATATCACAAATACAGCATGTTTTTTATATAGATGGCATGCGCTGTTGTGAAGTAGCGTCGCACTGTCGACTGTTGATGGCGTATGTTGTTTGGATTCTCACGCGGAAGCGGAAGCGGAACCCCCTGTAGTTCCATAGTTCATTTCCATAACCAATGAACTCGTGAGGTTCATTCTAAATAAACTTCTATTATTTGTAATGCTTCGGAATTAAACTGATCACTGACATTGAACTCGGCAATTTCCGGCTTATTTCGTAGCAATGTCCGAGAGAACAGAGAACTGCATGAAAGCGCGAGTGATTCTCCAGCAGTGTCTGCATGCACGACTGCAGGTCAAACCTCCAGAAGCTGGGAGTGAGGCTGAATGGGTTGAGGTATCGGAAAAATAGTTACTTAATTAACCTTAACCACAATTCTAGTTTTTGTCCAACTAATGGCCTGTCTAATGTAATTCGGATTATTCAGATTAATAGGGGAATGGTTATCTACATCTGCTTTTTCAAAGGTGCGACTGAAGATATAATCCCCAAAATGGGTATGCAATTGCTTCTGTCTCATATTTGCAATAAAAACATATAGATGCATTCATTCTGAAATAGAATATAAACTAGGCTATATTTAATTTACACCTGTTTTTCCTACTCAGTGAACACACTGCTGAACATGAAGCTTTGTGAGACAGAATCTGGAAAGTACACCTCAGTGCTTCAGCTACCAGGCAGTGTTCTCATAGTACCGCAAGCTACGCTTGGAGGAAAACCAAAAGGAAAACGGATGCAGTACCATGGCAACATTGGGAAAGATGAAGGCTTGAAGCTCTACAACAGCTTTGTGTCTCATTGTCAAAGTGAACTCTCAACCTGCAAGAACAGTGACACTGTTACAGAGGTCAAACATGGAACGTATGGAAACAGACAAGTCTTGAAGCTGGATACAAATGGACCTTATACTCATCTAATGGAGTTTTAAGAATTATACCATTTTCATTTGTTTGTAGATCAGTAACGTATGGGTGTATGAAGGACATGAATGTATACGGATCATCCAGAACTGTTAATACACGTTCATAGCTCCACTCCTAATTAAAATGTAATGCTTACACCTGGTGTCTGTTTTTGTGTTATCTTGTGTTGTGATTCGTTTGTGTTTTTTAGGTATGTTAAGCATATCTATCTATCTATCTATCTATCTATCTATCTATCATTGTACTTATCTGATAACATAGTCCATAAATCAGCCGTAATATTTGTTTATTTGGCTGCTATTCAAATATAGTTGGACATCTCCAGTTCCAGTTGAAATATCAATCACAAGGTAATCCAGATTTACCCAATCTACCGACATATAAAAAGTCATTACAGTAAAGGGAAAATAATGTTGCATAAATTGGATAAATTTCTTTGTACTGCAGAAAAAGACACAAATTGTATTATTATTATTAATAGTAGTAGTAGTAGTATACAGCAAATTATAGTTTTACATTTTTTGTTTTGTTTTCTTGTTCTCAGAGGATAACGCCCATATTTCACACACACACACACACACACACACACACACACTAATTACCATTAACCTAAAAAGATTGTGCTTTAAAAATAGACCTGCTACTTATTTCATTTGCATAGTTAATTGAATTTCATATTAAACTGAAAATAGAAAAACGCCGGTTTTTATATTAGACCCTCACAAATCATTCTCGACGTGTCATTTTGCTCATTCACATTTAATCAGTGAATGCCACGCCACGCATTGGATTCACTTTGGCCGCATGTCCCTCTCCTGTCCAGCAGGTGACAGTAAAGTGCAGACATTTCCAATATCTCCCAAACCAACAATCCAGAACAGTTTATGGAAATGCACAACAAACATGAGCTGGAAAGCATTAGGATCCTTGCAATGATGAGCAAGATCATTTCTCATACTGCGACATGTCAACACGACCAGACTGCAAGGTCTTAAATCCTGTGAGGATTAATGATTTATTAATTAAACTGTCTTTATAGCGGATTCGCAACTTTGATAATGACTCATTGTCTTCATCAAGAAAGCTGCTAATGGACGGCAGACAGAAGGAGCATTGCACTCAAAGACAAGACACATCAGCTGTAAGACACCGAAAAACATGTAAGACAAACGAGGGGTCTGAGTGCCTTTCCCAGCCTTCTAATGAGACTTCTAATGGGGCAAATAAAAGGATCCCCAAGCGAGGAGGACACCTCGATTCTCCCTCCAAAGATGATCATGTGCCAGTTCATACTCTGGTGCTGGTGCTTGTGCTCTCTGTATGTACACGCTTTTACAAAATCACTGAGCCTCCACATGTATGGTAAGTGTTAGTTGTGTAAAATTGTGATTATAACCCTACTATCAATGCACGATCAATAAACATAGTACATTTGCAGTTGGGATGAGACTCATTTCGGGAAAATGGGAAGCTATTACATTAACCGCACCTTCTTCTTTGATGTCCATCCACCTCTTGGAAAGGTATGGGTTACAGTGCATGTAAACCTACGCTTGCGGCAATAAAATCTGAATTTATTATTCTTCTGTCAATTTTTGTGTAGTTTGTCGTGTGTGACTCTAAAGGATGTTTCTACACTCATTGCTCAGATGCTGATCGGCCTCGCTGGATACCTGACAGGCTATGATGGCACCTTTCCCTTCATAAAACCAGGGGACAAATATGAGCACCACAACTATTGGGGGATGAGAGCAGTAAATCCCACTTCATTTCATGCATATCTTTAAGATGGTGTTAACTTTTAAGTTATTTTAGTATTTTATTTTTCCAAACTTTTAATCATTATATAGTTTTTTTTAGTTTATAATAGTTTAAAAGATCATTTTTGCAAATGCAAATTCTTTTTAATTTCACCATGCAAAATTGTAGCTATGAGTTCAAAAATGCAAATATTAATTTTTTTGTAAGTTCAAAAGTTATTCTGATTATGAATGGTCATGATGTTTCTTTATTTTATTTTATTTTTTCTTTGCATTGCTGATCTATCATTGATGAATTCCTTTGTGTTTAGTTCTGTGCAGCTCTTGGTTCCTGTCTTCCTCCTTTTGCCTTCCTTATTGTCCTGGAGCTGTCACACTCTACACCAGCAGCGCTCATCGCAGCCTCTCTGCTTATCTTTGGTGAGTGTGGTAGTGATCATCAACACAGAGCTGGCCTGTATACAGTGAGGGCATTACTATGATGATCTAAATCGACTGATCTGTTTTACAACAGACACTGGCTGTATCACCCTGTCTCAGTACATTCTCCTGGATCCCATTCTAATGTTTTTCATCATGGGCTCTGTTCTGTGCATGGTCAGATTCAACACACAGAGACTCAGGTAGAGGAATCTGAAGCATCTCTCTATGTAGCTTTACGGTTTGAGTTTGTGTACCTAATATAATGCACATTTTCTTTCTTGTCTCTAGGCCTTTCAGCTTCTCCTGGTGGTTCTGGCTGCTTCTGACAGGGTTCTGCCTCTCAGGGTCTCTGGGAGTAAAGTTTGTGGGTCTGTTTGTCATCCTCTTGGTGGGAATTAACACCGCATTTGATCTGTGGAGGCTGCTTGGGGACCTCAGCTTGTCTCTGGTATGAATGAGTACCAGTTACGAGATTGAATATAGTCTCAAATATATACACTGTTCAAAAGTTTGGGATCAGGAAGGTTTTTAATGTTTTTGAAAGAAGTCTCTTCTGTTCAACAAGGCTGCATTTATTTGATCAACAATACAGTACAAACAGTAATACTGTGAAATATTACAATTTAAAATAGCCATTTACTACGTGAATATACTAGAAAATATTTATATGTAATTTATTTCTGTGATGTCAAAGCACAGCAGTCATTACTCTACCCTTCAGTGTCACATGATCCTTCAGAAATCATTCTAATATGTTGATTTGCTGCTCAAGAAACATTTATTATTATTATTATTAATATTGGAAACCGTTGTGCTGTGTAATATTTTTGTGGAAATCGTGATACTTTTTTTTTCAGGATTCTTTGATGAATATAATTTTTTAAGAATAGCATTTATTTGAAATCGAAATCATTTGTAACATTGTAAAAGTCTTTACTGTCACTTGATCAATTGAATGCATCCTTGCTGAGAAAAAATCTTACTGATTTCAAACTTTTGAACATTAGTGCATGTTGTGGATGATAATATTTTATTGTTTTTTCACTAGGTGGATTTTGGGAAGCACTTATTAGCTCGAGTTTTCGGGTTGATAATGCTCCCATTGTTCCTGTACACCACAATATTTGCCGTCCACTTCGTTGTCTTAAACAGAAGGTATGTTTGAGCCAATATTAATTTTCTATTTTATAATTAAAGCAGTTCATTGGTCATTAATACAGTAAAATAAAATGCTAAAGCTTTGTTCTTTTCAACACACAGCGGTCCTGGGGATGGTTTCTTCAGCTCTTCTTTCCAGTCTCGCTTGATTGGAAACAATCTGCACAACGCCTCCATGCCGGAGTGTAAGAACAACTTGAGCTCAATATTTGGCATTTTTACTGCTTATGTTTCTTTTATTACTTAAAAAAAACCTTACTGAATTGTGAAAAGATTCCATTTAATGACAATATTATCCTGGCTTGTACTTCTCCCTCACACAGATCTGGCATATGGCTCTGTCATAACCGTGAAGAATCTGCGAATAGCAGGAGGGTATCTGCACTCTCACTGGCACCTTTACCCAGAAGGGGTTGGCGCTCACCAGCAGCAGGTCAGTTCACCCTCATTTACTCCTAACAGACAGTTAGACAACAGTACTACAGTAACATTATCTGGAAGATTTCAAGATGAAAAACTGATCTGTGATCCTTATTTTGGTTCAAAATGTCTAGTTATGCTACCGTTAAAAAGTTCGGAGTAAGTAAGAAA